TCGTACCTCCAGCCTGTCTGTCCTCATCAGCTTCTGGGCAGCAGCAGCAGCAGCAGCAGGGACGGGGACCCCAGGGTTCCCTGTCACCAGCATGGGGGCCGTGGGCAGGATCTCAGCAGGGACCAGGCCTGGGGACACCGGGCCCAGGTAGGGGTTGAAGGCGGCTGAGGCGTTGGTGGCCAGGCTGGGAGTGACGGAGAACATGGGCTGCAAGAGAACAGGGAGAGAGATTGAATATTGAATATTGAACTGTCACCATAACAACCCTCGGGATCCCCTCTGAGTGAGCAAAGGGAGCAACGGAGAACTTGGGCTGCAAGAGAACAGGGAGAGAGACTGAATATTGAATATTGAACTGTCACCATAACAACCCTCAGGATCCCATCTGGGTGAGCAAAGGGAGCAACGGAGAACATGGGCTGCAAGGGAACAGGGAGAGAGATTAAATATTGAACATTGAACATTGAACTGTGTGTCACCATAACAACCCTCGGGATCCCCTCTGAGTGAGCAAAGGGAGCAACGGAGAACTTGGGCTGCAAGGGAACAGGGAGAGAGATTGAATATTGAATATTGAACTGTCACCATAACAACCCTCAGGATCCCCTCTGGGTGAGCAAAGGGAGCAACAGAGAACATGGGCTGCAAGGGAACAGGAAAAGAGATTGAATATTGAACATTGAACATTGAACTGTCACCATAACAACCCTCGGGGATCCCTCTGGTGAGCAAAGGGAGTGCTGCTGCCCTCCTCCCTGTCCCCATCTCTGTAGGATTTCCCACTGTGCAAGGCTGTGCTGCTGCCCTCCTCCCTGTCCCCATCTCTGTAGGATTTCACACTGTGGAAGGCTGTGCTGCTGCCCTCCTCCCTGTCCCCATCTCTGTGGGATTTCTCTGCTGTGCAAGGCTGTGCTGCTGCCCTCCTCCCTGTCCCAATCTCTGTAGGATTTCACACTGTACAAGGCTGTGCTGCTGCCCTCCTCCCTGTCCCAATCTCTGTGGGATTTCCCACTGTGGAAGGCTGTGCTGCTGCCCTCCTCCATCCCCAATCTCTGTAGGATTTCCCACTGTACAAGGCTGTGCTGCTGCCCTCCTCCCT